GGGAGGGTAGGGGGGGAGAGGGTAGACGAGGGAAGCAGCCAGGCAGGTATACAGGAAAACAATGACTAAGCAACACCCGGATAGATATATTGCTTGAAACGCGCAGAGAGACACGAACGAACGAACACAGATGGATGGCTGTGGGGTTAGCACTGCGCTTCATACTTACATCGCCTGACTGACTGATTGATACAAACAGATGAAGAGAGCAAAGGAGCAAGAGAAAAGGCGCAAGAGAGCGGAAAACAAATACACACGCATGTACACCCACACACAGGGGACAGAGAGGGAGAACAAGGCAAGACAGGCAGACACACGCAGACAGACAGACGGATGCATTCATACTGCTGGGAGGAAGGAAGATGGCCGGTGGCTCACCTGGGCACAACCACACACTCGTGTATGTGTATGTGTGTATGTGTATGTATGTACGGTGGCGTGTAGGGATTCACTCACACACTACACACACACAAATCGGATCTTCCCTCCCTCTCTTCCTCCGTCCCTGCCTGCCTGCCTGCCTGCCCTACACACGGATGTTGTATTGTATATACACACACACTCACACACACACACACAGAAAGAGCGAGTCAGCCAATCATCAGAGAGTCAGAGAGCAATAGAGACACCCCCTCCCCTCCCCTCCCCTCCCACACACACACGGACATCGGCTGTGTACACGTGTGGCTGTGTGAGTGAGTATTGTATACGTCACGTACCAATCAATCAATATATGGAAATGGATAGATGGAGTGGATGGATGGATGGATGGATGAATGCCCCCCCTCCCTCCCTCCCTCCCTCCCCCTTGTCCGGTGAAATGGGTATGTGTTCGGTTCGGTGTGGTGGTTTGTGGGTCCACAATGACTGACCACATGCATCCATATGTGTGTGTATGTGTGTGGGTGTATAGGTGTGTGCACGTCACGTCACGCCTCGTTGCCGTTGCACCTTATCAATAGCCGAAAAGCCTGCATGTCAGTCACGCGACAGGCACTGAGGCTTATCTCTCTCCTTTGCCGTGTGTGACGTGCTGACTGACTGACCTCTATAATTCCCCGCTTCTCCCGCTCCTCGACGCCGGCAGCGTTGAGGAATGAGGACAGATTCCTCACCAGCCGACGACGCTTGCACGGCGGCAGACGACGCGCACACTGACACACACACATACCGATCGACATAGATGCGTGTGAGAGAGGTCATCATTTCTGGCTGGTCGACGCACCCACCGTACCTACCGTGACGTAGCTGTTGATCTTTGCTGCTGTACACCTGCCCAGAAGGCAGCCCACCACACGACCAACCACACCCTGCTCACCACACACATGAAGTAGAAAGAAGTACCATCATCATGGGTGGCAAAAATGCATCATTTTAGCCGTGTTATAAGCGCGACATACATACATACATACCGCCATATCCCGTAGTGTCTGGACGAGGCATGAGCCCAATAAGGACATGCGCGCCGCCACACTGTCCACCAGCGCACACACACTGCCCACCAACCAACAGATGGCACACTGCACACATACACACAGGGGGCGAGGTGTGCTCATGAGATGGGGCACACCAACCGGTGGCTTGTTTGCCTTACGGTGGTGGTTCGTATGGCCTGTGCTGTGAGCGTCGCCGTCATGACGCACACACGGACGGTGGATGACACCACACGCAGCACAAGCTGATGCACACCACACACACACACACACACACCACACACACACACACACACACATTGCTTCCCGTCTGATGATGGTCTGTGTGTGCGCTTGATGGGTCGCTCGCTGACTTTGAAAGGCAGTAGGAAGAAGCACATCATGACCTCGATGAACATGAGGCCGAACAGACGGCAATTAGACATCATTACCAGCCCATCTGCGCACACAGACAGATGGCGGACGAAGGAAGGAACACACAGCCATCTTCACACAGACAGTTGGCTGATGGCTGGCTGGCCCGGCAGCCCCCTGACTGACTGACTGACTGACCGTTCCAGGAGTCCTTGTCGGTGTTGCCGTCTCCGTGGATGAGCAGGTGGAACCGATACAGGTACCTCTCCAGCTGATGCATGTCCTCCTCGCTGCCATGCCGATCGACACCAACACCCACACCAAACAGACCACACATTCACACACGCATGGCCAGTCCTTCTGCCCTTCTCCCGCCCCCTTACATGGTGGCGTCGTCGCTCGTATTGCCGCTGTCGTGCTGCGAGCGCGCGGCATTGCTGTCGCACCTGCCGCCGCCGCTGCTGCTGTTGGCACTTCTGCCGCTGGTGAGTGCCGGCAGCAGGGCGTCGATGAGGGCGTCCAGGTAGACTATGGGGTACCCCATGCAGAACAGCGAGTGCAGCAACGCCTGCAGGAACGACACACAACACACACACACACACACTGTCAGAGAGACTGCCACTGCTTTCTCTGCCAGTCTTCGGTTGCTGTCCCCCCTCCCTCCCCCCCAAGGACTTACCTGTTCGGACATCTGAATGGCTGAGAAGCATCGCTTCCCCACCACAGCCAGGTGCAGGGCCAGGTGAGACATCCTCAGGTACGGAGTCGTTCACTACGGCCACGCACCAGCACTGCCGCACCAGTCAGCCGTCACCGAGCACCGGTGGCGCCGTCGTCACTTCCCAGGAGCATCTGGCAGCTACCTATACACAGCACCTTGACCAACAACGGCGTCATAACATGCTCCAATGTCCCTGCCGCTCTATGGTTACACGCAGCGCCCTACACTACAAGCTCGCGACCTAGAGAAGGGGAAAAAGGGGGAGGATCCAGAAGCAGACGGACAGGCACACCAGATGCACCAGCAGATCTGATCCGATTCGATTCGTTCGTTTGGCAAGGAAGGAAGATGAGCACCGCCGCCCTGGCGCTGCACCCGTCGGTCGTCCAGCGCATCGACGCCGGACTCGACGCCTTCCTCGCGGCCGCAGACGCCTCACTCAAGCCCTCGCGCATCGTCTGCAGGTGAGCGGGGCACAGATGCACATCGATATCTTGGAGTATATCCCGGTGTATCTTTGCCATTGGGTGCGTGTGTGTGGTGTCTGTGTGTCAGGCGGCTTTGTGTGAGTGAGAGGGGCTATCACCGGCAGAATTTTGAGAGGCAGCGGAGCACATCGCTGGCCAGCAGCGACATCGCAGAGACCCCTGCCGGCAGATGGTGAGTGAACGCAGGCACCCGGCAGAGGTTTGTGTGTGCACACACATGATGATCCTCGTCTCTCTCCCTCCCTCTGTGTTGTGTGTGTGTGTCAGCAATGCATCGTCCAGCGGGTCTGCGGCCGACATGTCCTGTTCGACACGCCAGTCGACCGTCGACAGCAGCGACGATACACCCAGACAGCACCAGCAACACCAGGAGCAGCAACAGCAGCAACAAGAGGAGCCTGTTGATCACCAGCAGCAGCATCAGCAGCAGGGAGAAGACGAGCAGCACCAAGAGGGGCAGGAAGGTAGCCACACGTTGGTGCTGATGTGAGTCGATGTGAGAATGTGTGTTGTGTGCGTGTGGGCAGGTGTGACGTACGGTGATTTCCAGTTCCTGCTGGATCGTGAGCACGAGGGATTCACCGCACCCGGATGGGAGAAGGTGAGCGGGGGAGGGGAAGACACACATAGCAAACGTGTCAGTGGGCGGTACGCGTGTGTGTGTGTGTGTGTCACCATGCGCCAGGTGTTGGAGCGTGACGGCGTTTCGGTGGGCAGATGCAAGCCGGAGGAGAGCGGCCTTCTACAGGTGCGGACAGACAGACAGACAGACAGAGAGGGAGAGCGAGTGTCTCTGTTGTGTATGTGTGCGTCTTTGTGTGGTTAGGTCAAGGCGTACGCCACTTTGGCATCGATCGACATCGACACGGCCTTCACACACATATACGACATCAACACACGGGCCATCTGGGACCCTGTCCTCACCGTACGTCGCGAACACCCATACACACACACCATGCCCACGTGGACTTGTCTGCCTGTGCCTGTGTGTCTCTTCCGTTGGTAAGGAGTGGCGTCTGATATCGACCATTGACTGTCCCACCCGGCACAAGGCGTCCATGACGCCCACGGAGGTCATCTACTCCGTCATGCACGGCCCATTAGGTGCCTTCCCACTCACAACCACACAGACAGACAGACAGACAGACGTGATTGTGGTATGTTATCATGTTGGGTGTGTGTGTTGGGTGTGTTGGGTGTGTGCAGGATTGGCGTCTCGCGATTTTCTTCAGTACCGTCGGTCGATGACCAACCTCACTAACAAGGGCCGGGTGCGTTTGTCAGGGAAGCAGCCACCGGGCACTGAGCTACTGAGGCAGCAGACACACTGTTGTGCGGGTCGTGTGTGTGTGTCAGGTGTCGGTGATCTGCATGAGATCTGCGCCTAGCGACGAGTACATGACCGAGCGGAAGGGATACGTCAGAGCCGACAGCGTCATCTCAGGCACGCAGGCAGCCCTCCCCTCCTTTCCCCTCCCCTCCTCCTAATTATCACTCCCACACACGGACAAAACAGATGAAGAATGTGGGTTCACTCATCGATGTGTGCGTGCGTGTGTGTGTGTGTTGTGGTTCATTCCCTCACTCGGTCATCCAGGTTACGTGTTGCGTCAGTCGAGTCACGATCCGGCCAACTCGACGGACCTCTTCATATTCAGCCACAACGACCCGCGAGGACTCATTCCTAAGTGGATCGTCAACGCCGGTCGGTAGATGACCCCTTCTCGTGTGTGCATGCATTGGTGTGTCCCTCGGCTGTTTGTCTCTTGGTCAGTTGCTGCCCGCGCGCCGGTGCATTGGGTGCAGTCGTTCAAGACGGCGTGCTACGACTACCTGCTCAACTCGACACAGGAGGAGGTCAGAACACTCACACACACACACACACACAGAGAGAGAGAGAGAGAGGAAGACAACGAGGTCGGATCTCTGTGTGCTGTGGTGTGCAGGGTACGCAAGAAGGAGGAGATAGCGGGCAGGAAGAGGAGCCAACCACAGAGACAGAGACCGACACCGCCCCACCAGCGCAGAAAAGAGTCGTCTCAGCACCTGGTATTTCCAAATGTCTCACCTAAACCCGAGCCCCTCCTCCATTGATTACACGTTTCCCTTTTCCTCAACCTGCAGAGATCTCAGTCCCCACCACGCTGTCGCCCCCCGCAGCCCCCCTCCGCCCCCATGAGCAGCGCGAGTGCGGCCACAAGGCACCACCCTCCCCAGCAGCATCATCGTCCCATGAGGACAGCCAGCCGTTCGGGCGGTCGTCGCCCACTCCCACAGACGGGGGCAGCTTCCTCGGGCCTGAGTGGTGAGCGAGAAGCGATGGACAAGAAAGAAGAGATCTATGTGGATGGATGGCGTTTATGTGAGTGAATGCATTGGTTGTGTGTGTGTCTGGCATCATCAAACTTCATTTCGTCAGGGTGGTTGTGCGTCGTTCCCCGGCCCCCCCGGCTCAGCCCGACAGCTCCCCCACGCCATCGCTATCACGATGGACCAAGAGCCCCAACGGCATCAGGTCGAGAGCCACATCAGGTGAGTCCATGAGTGAGGTGCACTGACTGCACTCACCCGTCCACGCACACGCGCATCCCTCCCTCTCTCTCCTTCCATCTCTCTCTCTCTCTCTGTATGTATCCATCAGGGTTGCGTCTGTTGTCGCGCGCGATGCCGTCCACTCGGCTGCTGCGGTTCGAGCGCGAGTACGAGAGAGTGCGGTGCTCTGTCGGATGGGGCGTCGGCAGGGTCCTCTGGAGGAAATGGCGCAGGTCAGTGCCTGCTGCCCCTCCGAAGCACACATAAATGGATGGATGGATGTGTGTGTGTTCAGGTGGCGTGGCAAGGACGACGCGAGTGGCGGCTGTAGTGTGGGTGGCAGTGTGGAGATGGAGAAGCTGCCGCTGCCCCGAGTGGACACGACGGATTTGCTGCTGGAGGACACCCCCACCATCAGACACATGAGGAGCATGTAGCCACGTGGCTCTGCTCTGAATTAGAGCGGCTGTAGTGTGTAGCGACTGTACGTACTCAGTACTTAGTGCACGGTACATGAAGCGATTCGATGGATGGATGTGTTGTTCCGAAGCTCAGGGGCAGCCGGAACATCGGTGTTTTCTTGTCTCATTTGCGAGCGATGTTTGGCCGGTTCTTCTGCCGCTGCCTTTCCTTCGTTTCACCTCCGCGTGGAAGCGATTTCGGTGGGTGCGCAGACAGCATGTATCGACATACCTTCCACGACGATGAGTGACGGGGGCAGACTGCAGCAGAAGAGACAGGCCGACAGACAGACAGGGACTACTTAGCGTCACGTCGCACAGACAGACAGACAGACAGAGAGACACTGAATCCGTCTGGGTTCTTCGGGCCTTCTGGTCTGCTGTGTCACGCCACGTCCATGTACGCGTGTGGAGAAGGCCTGAAACAGCCCTTTTCCACGTGGGTGCGCGGATGGGGGGCGACACGACAGACAGACCAGTTAAAGCCAACCGCAGAACGGACGGGAGCAAGATATAGCCAGGATGGTCGATCGACCTTAGGTAGAGAGGTATGTTCTCGGTGTATGTGCTCATGTACTCTATGCGTGTGGGGTGTTGCAACCCACCACAAGTACTGCTCGCCTAGATACGGGTGGCGAGCGTCAGTGGGAAGTTTTTTCAATCTCTCAGAGAGGCAGCTGATCTGGATGTGTCCACTGACTTACGGTTGGGAGCGATCGCACGGTGAACGACAAGCGATCGCTCTTTGCTGCCTATCTTTTTTCTGCCAGCCGCACCGCACCGCCACCCTGTTTTCACACACACGCGCACACACACATGCGTAAACACACGCAAATATGGGGTCGGTCTGTCTATTTCTCTGATTTGCCCATGAGCCGCACACACAAATGCCATGTGCTTGTCCGTGTGGTTGGCTGCGTCTGCACTCGGTGCGTGCAGTTTTGCCTCAGCTAGCCAAGGTGTCTTTCTGCATGTGGCATCGTCTGTGTTTGTGGCGGGCGGTGCGTCATCGGCTCCATCTCCCTCACCCTACATCTATCTGTGTATGTTCTGTACAGATGCATTGCGATGCAGACCCATCCTCTCACTCTCACTGAATGACTCCCTCACTTACTTGCACACTGGTCCGGTCACGCTTTCTGTGTCACTCGTGCATGTGTGTATTATGCACCCTTGTGTGTCGTGCCTGTCGTGTCATAGTGAGTGGGGAAGGAGTGCATACGTGCATCTGGGGGGGTGGTCCTTCGTGTGACAACGACACTGGCGGCTGGCCATGGGGGGCTGGGCTGATTGACTGATGCGTGTGTGGTTGGTTGATGACATTGCGGAAGCGGGCAGCCACTGATTGAGAGCACCGACCGTGTGTGGTATGGGTGATCGGTCGGTGCCTTCACTCCGTGTGTGTTTTTTCATGTCCTGCCCGCCATGCAAGACAAAGATACAACTAGCTCAGCTGCACATTTTGACGCGATAGAAGTGGACGCACTCAATGGTCTGCCAAGGCAATCAGTCACTCTAGATGGCACAAACCCTCAGACACACACACATAGTCAGAGAGAGAGAGAAGAGAAGGGAGGCGCGAATTCATCAGAATCCGACTCACAAGGCCTCGGGCGAATGGATGTCACACGCGGGCACGTATCTCTCACTCTCATCAATCATTGTCGCGTCAAGTCAGTCATTGCGCCAGTCAGTCAGGTGCCTCACTGGTAAGTAGCTATGCTACCCCAGGTCCGCCCCGCCGCCTGGCACGTTGAGGTTCTGCGCCATCTCTGCGCTGGCCTTCATGACGATGGTGTGGGCCTCGTACATTCTGTCCATGCACTTGGCCAGACAGATCTGCTCGTTCTTGGACATCCGGTCGCTGAAACGAGACCCGAAACACTTGTCGAAGCACGTCTTGCGCACTTGCTACACACACACACACACACGCACATCAGACAGACAGACATGACGGACGTCTTGTTGGTGGCTTACGTTGTTGAGCAATTGGAGTATCATGACGTTGAGGGCGTTCTGTGCCTGGCTCATTTCGGCAGCAGAGGGCGCCGCAGATCCGCCGCTGCCGAGGCCGCCTGTGCCGAGGGAATCCATGAGAAACGTTGATGCAGCGGCAAAGAAGGGGGACTGCACCACAGATCTGTGACCACGCTGCCTCACAGACGACGAAACGCACACTTTCTGGCGTGCAAGCTCAGCTCGAAGCAAACAGAGGTGAAGGGAGCCAGGTGAGTCAGGACAGCACAGGCAACCATAGAATGATCGAGATCTGATCAATATGTGTGTGTCTGTGGCGTGCAGCATCGCGTTGGATCTGTGAGGATGTCATTGTCTGTGAGCAGTCTGTCGGGCCGTGTGGTGGGTCTGTTTGAGGGCCGCAATGTCTTCACCGATGGCAGTGGGCTGTACATCCTGGTGCAGCAGGGGGACGGCGGCCCTCTCGGCGGCGACAGAGAGCGGCGGTTTATCCGCAAGACCGACTATGGGCTGATCAGGCTGTTTGACGATGTCAACCTGGACCTACGGCAGCTGGCCAGCAGGTATCTCACACACCGTGATGGATGCACTGAATGGCGGCATAGGCAGACATTTGTGTGCCCTCTGCTGTGTGTGTGTCCTTTCGTTGATCAGTGTGGGTGTGGCCAATGGCGGCGGCGCCACACTGCGTCAGCGGCAGGAGGGATCGTCGTCAGCCCCCAACAGCAACGGCGATGGCTTCAGTGTGAGCCCGTTAGGTAATCGGTATCGCATCGTCACGGAGGGCACCGGGAGAGTGCCGACACTCAACGACCGCGTCAAGGTTGACGACATCTGGTGGCGGGATGCATTCGACAGCCAGAACAATGCCTTCTTCGATCGCCGTGGGAAGGTGTGGCTTGCGTCTGATTGGGTTGGGTGCCTCCGTGAGGCGATGCTGTCGATGAGGGAGGGGGAGACGAGGCAAGTCATCATACCAGCCGACGACAGATATTATCCCCGCTACGTTCAGCTGCGTTTGGTCAGCATAGAGTAGGGGAGTGCCCACACACACAGACGGGGGGCGGCTGTGTGTGTCACACACTCATGTATGTGGCCGGGGGCTGTTCCATCGTTGACTGTCCGACTGTGTGCTTTGGTTCGGGCGAAGAAGGGCGGGTTAGCCGTAGGGGTATTTTGTGTGCGTGTCCCGTCTCTCCCCACCGTCTGTTTGTCTGCGATGAGTGGGGGAGTGTGTCATCGGTCGGCCGGCCACAGGCTCTCTCTCTCTCTGTATGTGTGCACAGAAATCTTCCCCGGTGTTGATGGAAGGAGGGAGTGCATTGTGATTTCTGTGGTTGAGTGATTCACCGTTGTGTTGTGGCACATTTGGCAGCACTTTTGCCGCACACAGGGGACGGGGGGGAAAGCCTCAGGTTTCGTCGCCTCTGACCCTCACTGTCTGCCTGTTTCTCTGTCTGGATGCCATGAGTGGACGGATGAGCGAGTGTCCTCTCCGCTGCTGCCTTATCTATCGGTCACACACACACACTCACACACTCTCTCTCCCTCCCTCTGTGCCATCGATGTGGGTCGCATTTTGCCACATGAGTGGACGGCAGCAAAGGGCTGGATTTTTATCGCGGCGTTGATGTCTGTCTGTCTGTCTGATTGTCTGCCATGAGTGGATGGATGGGTGAGTGTGTATCCTTTTCGTGGCTGGTTTATCGATCGGTCGGTCACTCGCAGCTTCTGTGCGTGTATGTGGTGCCCCCGCTCCTTGGTTGTATTGTCTGCTGCTGTGGTTGTGTGTGTGCGCCTGCCTCTGCCTTTATTCTCCCTGTGTGTGGGGGTCGATCGGTCGCTGAATGGAAGCGACACACGTGTGTGCTGTGTGCGTGTGCGTGTCCGGTAGACAGACGGACAGACATCCGTGGTGTGCCTGTCTGTCTGGCACATGAGGTATTTTCTGCCAGGTGCTCATGAGTGCATCCCACAAAGACAGAAGTTGAAAATTCAACGAAACGCACTAATGCTCGTATGACTGGCTTTCCGGACATACCAATGAGATGATTTTCGAATGTCTGTGCTGACAAGGTGAGAGCGTTCCCGTTTGTCGCATTGTCGTCACGGAGTTGAGCGGAGGACGATGGACAGATGGACCGATGATGGGAAGCTGGATGGCCAGGGGGTACGTGTACGCGCGTGGGAGGAGTCGCGAATGGTGCGTTGTCGCATGGGATGCGCTGTTCTTTTCAAGTGCAAGTCAGGCCCGCTCCCCTGCTCGCTCTTCAGCCACACTCTCCATCCCTCTACGATTGATTCAATCCACTGACAGAAACACCCAAGCTCGCATCCTCGGCATCGCGGCTGACAATGCAAAACGACTCAGATCTGCCTGTTACCTCTGCGCACGAGATGTTGAGGATGCCATAGAAGAGATCTCGGTAAGGAGAGAAGGCATCCGACGACAGGGGCTTACGCCAACACGTTGCTGTGTTCGTGTATGTGCTCAATCAGGTAGTGGATCCATAGATGCAGGCCATGCTGATCTCTGGAGGACGCGTCCGCCGCCCCGCTCCCCTGACAGTCAACCTGTGTGTTCCGGCGGCCCTCGCCGGGCTGCAAGCATTCATCTACGCCACCATCGGCCAATGGCAGGGCGCCGAGTGCTTCCTGCACTGCCTCATACCGCCGTGGTCTCTCTATGGACTCATCGCACACACGGCGGCCTGTGCCTGCGGCATTGCCGGCGTCTTAATGGCGGTGATGCAGATGGCCGGGCGGCCGATGTGGCCGCTGGTTTTGCGAAATGGGCGGTTCTTGCCGTTTGTTAACGCGTCATCGCTGAAGAGCCCGGTGCCGCCGGGGTGCCTTCTGGCGGTATCGGCGACATCGCCCTCGCGCACTCTGGTGCCCTTGATGGCGCTGTTTGGGCTGCTGCTGCTGCAGAGTGGGCTGTTGGTGTATAGCGCCCTGCTGCTGTTTCGTGTGATTCCCGCGCGCATGAGGCACGGATGTGATCTCACAGGTACACATGAGAGAACATGGACTGCAATCTTGAAAGACATACACGAGTGCGTGTCACTCACCTCCTCAGGTCCGTGTGCGTTGAAAAGTTTGGCGGGTCGCCCGTGCACACCGTCTGAGTGGCGGAGGGAGGGGGCGGGGATGCCGGCATCCTCGTTCGTCAACATCACGCTCACCACCTATGCCGTGCCCAGCGAGAGCTTCCCAGAGGAAGCCGTCAACAGGATAGAAACCGTCATCCGCACTTATGCGCGTAGCCACACACACAGACAGACCCGCAGACACACCCCATCCATCCATCCATTCCATGTGTGTGTGGGTATGTCTGTTCTGTGTGCTCATTAATCAGTGCGTCACGGTCTGTCTTATTTCGACGGGCGTACTCTCGGCAATGGCACCACCTGGTGGCACTGGGCATCGCCTTTGTTCGACACAGACCCGCCCCCCGCCACCTTCGGCACTCGCAGCGACCGAATGCCGCGACACACGTGGGCGAAGCTGCCCTTGTTGGCTCATCTGATCGGCAGCCGGCTGCGTCAGACGGCCTCTGCGGTGACGGCGATGGCTGACGAGTGGGTCATGTGGCTGGACAGCGATGTGGTCATCATGAACCACCTCTTCTCACTCCAGCCGATCGTCCAGACCGCACTGGTTGGGACAAACACGTATCATGTGCACACACATGGGTATCTATCAGGGCGTGGTTGTGATGTGTGTGCTGTGTGTCCACTTAGGCGTTTGACAAGTTTTTGGTTGCGTGTCCGTCCAACAACGGATGGGACACACTGATAAACGGTCGGTCGGCCAGAGAGACCACACATGGATAGATAGGGGAAGGGTGTGTGTGTGCGCGTGTGGGTGTAGGCATGGAGTTCAATGCGGGCGTCATGTTGGTTCGGTGCAGCCACCGGTCGCTGGAGTATCTGCGGCACGTCTGGCGCCACGGCATCTCTCACGGCAGGACACATCTCGCCGACCAGCCATCGTACATGTCCGTCATACACAGACCCGCCTTCAGGTACACACACACACATAGGCAGACACATACGGACCTCACTGTGTGTCTGTGTCGGTGTGTGTGTGTGTGTGTGCAGGGATGGTCTGCTGCTGGTGCCGCGGTGTGTGATGAACAGCAAGCCACACGCGTGGCAAATGTGGCAGAGATACATGAAGGTGCGCACATCCGCCTTGACGAATGATGGCTGGACGACACACACACACAGACACAGGGAGGCCTTGGTGTGTGTGTGTGTGTGTGTCAGGGTGACTTCATAGCGCATGCAGCAGGTGACGACTTCAAGGCGGCCCGTCTGCAGGAGTACTCCACCGCCGTGTTAGAGAGGAGACCCCCAAGGCTGTGGACCTACTTCGTGTGAAGGAATGAGTGAATGGATGGATGTGGAGGCGCATGGGTGCCGTGCGCAGATGTCGTGTAGATAGAGAGATAGACAGACGGCTGATTGCTTGGTTGGTTGATTGATGTAACTGTATAGGCAGCTGCTGCGACAGACACACTTGATTACGTCTGACTGGTCGGCCTACATCGATATGGATGTCAATATGCAGGCAGACACGATTAGTTAAAGTCGATGGATGGTCGATAAAGAGCACACGCCATTCGTGTCACTCAGGCAGGCAGGCAGGCCGGCAGGGAGGGAGGGAGGAAAGAGATAGGGACATCATCGCTCCCACACACACACACACACATACCATCGCGTCGAATAAAAGGGCGCCGCGCGCAGTCAACCCCCCCCCTCTCCCTACAGCACACAGGCACCACGAGTGGCAAAATCAGACAGACAATGCATTCCCTCCTGTGCTCAAACCCGAGGCACTCAGTCAGCCAGCCAACGAGGGAAGAGCCCCCAGCCACACACATGAGTGTGTGACACACAGCCGCCCCCCATGTGTGTGTGTGTGCACTCTCTCCTACTCTATGCTGATCAATCGCAGCTGAGCGTAGCGGTCAATATAGTCGTCTGGCAGTTTGATTTGTCTCACTTCCCCCACACGCATTGACAGCACCGCCTCACGCAGCCACCCACCCATATCAGACACACGATAGACCCACCCACGGCGATCGTAGACTCTGCGCTGGCCGTCGAATGCATCACACCACGCAATCCAGTCGTACCTGACGCTGTCGTTGAGTGTCGGCACTCTGCCGCTGCCCTCCGTGACGATGCGATACCAATCACCAAACGGAATTGAAGTGAAGCCATCACTGTCGCTGCAAAGTGGATGATAAGGACGAATGGCGACACCGGTCCTCCTAGTTCTGTCCATCGGCGTACCTGGTCTGCTGTGCGCCATGTGGAGTGTCGGTCTTGACAACGCCGTACATGGCCGCGTTGATGTCGAAGGCCGCCTGCTCTCGGGCGGTGTCCATCTGCAGCGGCACGTTGGCCTCGGCGGGCGAGGCGCCGAGTCGCTGCCGGCGGTGGTGGTCGACGATGCGGCTAATGTGGTCGGGCTGCACCACATCCACCGGCCCCGGCCACCTAAAGACACACACCACACTCAAACAGCCGCCCGAGTGCATCTCAGCAATGTCCATTGCTCACATGTCGAATCGATTTATCAGCTCCTGGTTCATGGTATCGACAGTCGACTGAGTAGTGGATATCACCTGACCGCACGCGTCGACAGACCGGATGTGGTCACCGCCACTCAGAGGCAGCAAGAAGGGCTCGACGGCCTGGGGCAAAGAAATAGCAACGAGATGAGCAACACGCAGCATCGACCCCCTCCCCCTCCTCCCCCTCCCTCTCTCTCTGTCTGTGCCAATCTCGTCACCTGTATCTCTTTGTTGAGGTGGTCACGTCGTGTGTTGGCGGCCCGCAGCTGTCCCTCCAGCCGGGCCTTTTCAGCGGCGAACGCCTTCATGATGCCTTCCAGCCTCTTGACGGTGTCGCCCATCTCGGCGGGGATACCCGTGGTGGGCAGCCGCAGGTCGGTGCCAGCACCGCCACTGGAAGTGGCCTCCGCCGGCGTGGTCTTGTCGAGAGGCGACATCATCAGCTTGACCCAAAAGTCATGAGGACCTGCAACACACAAGCAGCCGGCCGAAGAAACGAAGGGGGCGGAATGATGATATGATGAAAAGTGTGTCCCCCTCTCGTTGCCTTAACTTACCGGTTTGGTTCCGCTTGGCCGCGTCATCGATCAGATGTTTGACCGACGCCGCCTTGCCCGAAGTGCGCATCGTCTCGGCGTCGAGGATGGCCTTGTGGATGGCCCTGAAGGCCTCCGAGTCCATGTTGAGGAACACCCGCTGCTTGTCGTCCCTGACCAGTCGGCCGTCCCAGCAGCCCGAGCACAACGCCGCCAGCAGAGTGCCCTCCACCCCCTCCCCTTGAGTCAACAGCTTCCGCTTCACTCGCCACTCGCTGCCGCCCACATTGAGCAGCAGTACGTCATCGGGCGACGCTGCTGAGGGGTCCGATGCGCCGTGCTTGATTCTCTCTTGCTGGGCGTCCTCGTCGGCTTGGCGGATCTGTGCGTGCAGCTGGCTGATGGCGTCGCAGATGGCCGTCACAGGCACATGCAGCTCATTGAGAATCGCATGGGCGCTGAACTGGCGAGCGGCCAACTCGGCCTCCATCGTTTGTCGCGGCGCAACACATCTGTCACACAAGTGCCTGACAACCACAAACACCGATGAGCAGGTTTTAGTGTTGTTCCATTGTCGTCCTTGCACACCTGATGCCCAACACAAAGGCGATGCCGAAGTCCTTTTTTCTGACTGCGAGCTTAGCCGCGCTGAAGCGGATCCGATTGCACCAATTGCTGAGGGCCTGAGAGTGGATGAGGGGCTCGCAGCGGGCGGCCCGACACACTTGCTGTGCCGACGCGTCTTTCGATATCGATTCACTCATTCATTCGTTCACTGTCACGTACATGCATCGCCAGCACGGACAAAGTGTGTGTGTATACGAGTCCATCCATCCATCCATCCATCCATTGGGTCGCTGATTCCGTGTTGTCTGTCTGTCTGTCTGTCTGTCTGTCTGTCTGTGTGTGTGTCTGATTGGCCGCCGCACCTCAGTGTTCCCTCCCACCACAAACATGGACGGAGGCAGAGTGCCCGACAGAACCGAACACACTGCTCACGACCATGATGCAGAGATGGGAGGGCACACTGAGGTGCAGCTTTGAATCAAAGCAGAGATCACATAGATGCCCCTCACTGTCAGCTCAAAAGCGCCCCTGCGATGGCTAAGCGGATCAGTGTGTCAGTGAGTATACACACAAACGAAGACGGCTCGTCGTGTCAATGCCGTCTGTCTGTCTGCCGGATCGCTGGCCGCACAACAGATAGACGAGTTCAATAAAAGTCAGCACACACACACGGCAGATGACATAGACACCCCACGTCGATCTTGCCGCCACACGCACACACACAATGGACAAAAGAATAAAAACCACCGCAATCACCACACACACGACAGGCCGACGGATAGCACACGCACACACACACGACAATCCCACTCGGCCATCCAACACACGCACTCACGCAGTCAAAGCTCTCTGTCGCTCTCACACACAATCGCGTCGAATGAAAATGAAACACACACACGGCAGACAGAAACCGCCACATGAGTGTCTGGGTGGCCGACAGACAGACAGACAGCACACTCACTCCTTCGCTCAAAGCCGAGGCACAACGAGGGAGGAGCCCCCGGCCGCACACATGAGTGTGACAGACACACACAGCCGCCCCCACGTGTGTGTGTGTGGACTCTCTCCTACTCTATGCTGATCAAACGCAGCTGAATGTAGCGGGGACCGGCTATGATCTGCCTCGTCTCCCCCTCCCGCATCGACAGCACCGCCTCACGCAGCAACTCGTACCCAAAATCAGACACACGACGCACCCACCCACGGACATCGTACGCTTTGTCCCGGCCGTCGAATGCATCACGCCATGCAATGGTGTCGACCTTGACACGGTCGTTGGCCGTTGGCACTCTGCCGGTGCCGGGCGTGATGATGCGATACCGAGCACCTAACGGGGTCACAGTGAAGCCTTCACTGTCACTGCAAAGGAAGGGACCAAGCATGACAGACGGCGAGGTGGCTTGTGTCCCTCCTCCTTTGAACCGACCTGGCCCGCTGCTGCTGCGTGCCGCTCGGCTGCGGTCCGGCGGTGCCGGCAGCAGAAGTCCCCACCGGCGCACCGCCACCACTGGCAACACTGACACACACGCCAACACGTGAGCCAGGGGATCAACCAGTGTGGCAGTGACGGGCAGTCGCTTTGATGCACACCTGTGGCTGTTGGGTGTCCGCTCGGCCGTCGGCCGCTGGGGAATCCCACGCAGCCTTTATGCAGCCACACAGCACACGAGAGAGAGGGGGGGAGATGGCATATCGGTGCGTTTGATTGATTACCGGGGGTCTTGTTGGTTGCCTCCTGCTGTGCCGTAGATGGGAATGAGGCTGTCGACCGTCACGCCCGCCTTGCACACCGGACACGACGTCTGGTCCTCTTCGAGCAGCCACTTGCCAAGACACGCCCAGCAATACTACACGGCACACAACACACCCCACACTCACACAACTCATGTGGTGCCTCGTGGTCTCACTCACCATGTGGCCGCATCGCGTGACGACCGGCTCCGTTGCGCCCTCCTTGCAAATGCCACACGCGAAGCGACCTGGCGCCTCATGTGTGGCGCCGCACTGAGGGCAGCCTGCTGCTGGTGGTGGTGGTTCGTTGTGGTCTTCTCGACGGCGGCGCTTGGAACCGACAGATGACCTGACACACAGGGGGGCACACCAAGTCAAGATGAACACACATGTGTGTGCTGTGCTGTGCTGTGTGAGTCCCCTACGTGTCTGTGTCGGCGGAGCCGAACTTGATGTGGTCGTGGAATGACCGGTCGATGGCCACACGCTGCCCCTGCACATCCATCTCGTAGCCGCCACGGCCGTCCTCATACACACGACACTCAAACACTCCGACGCTCGACGGCGATGGTGCGGTGGGATCCGCAGACGACCAAGACGAGCCCATTGATTGATGCAGTACTGCAGGCGGTGCGACGAACGATACTCGATCAGCTGCATCCACACACCCGCACAGACACGTCCACAAGTTAGTGTCTGTGTGCATGTGTGAGGCTGTTTATCATGGTGTCATCGGGCGTACCTGTGCGGCTCTGGTGCGGACAGGGCGACGCGCGACGAATAAGAGGCAAGGGATGAGGACACCGACACACAACACTGCTCACCTACCGACACACACAACACTCGGAGGCCTCTGTGTGTGTGCGTGTGTGTGTGTGTGTCCTCACCTGTGGTGTCTGAGGGTGAGCGACAGAAATGCAGTCAGTCAGGCCGTCACCGAAGGCAGTGATGATATCCCTCCCGCCACACCCCTCACAAAATACTAATGGACCTGACAGTGTGAGGTGACAGACACAAGGATGGGCGCATGCTTGGCCAGGGGTGCGCTCATGTGTGCGGGCCGACCTCTCTGTGTTGTGTGTGTGACCACACTGATCAAGATAGATACCCTCAGAGGCGCCACACACACAACCCAGATCTGACACACCAAGAGTGATGTGTCCACCGTGCTGCATGTGTGTGTGTGTGCCTTTCTCTCACGCCTTTGTCTGACGCCAATGAGTGCGGTGATATCTGACTGACCAGCACCGCCTGCACACACACATGACACACACATGGCAGGAAGGGCTGATGCGTTTCTGTCATCGGTGGACGGCCATGTGATTGTCGTTCGCTCACCTGTGCCCTTGCTGACAAACCGAATGCGACCAGACAAAAAACACGTTTTCTCAAAACCCGAGAGCGAGCAGTTTCATGGAATGTCCTAGGCGCCTGACGGCCAAGTCTGCTCTTTCACGCACAATCAATCTGCGAGCCGATGTTTGTGTCAGCCAAGATCGGATTCATCGGTTTGGGTTGGTAGTCGGCAGACGAGTGTGAGAGGCGGCCGAGGAGCCATTAAATGAGTCAATGCGACGAAGCCGTCCACTCAGCCGTTTGTCCAATGGCTTCGCGTCTTTCGTGCCGTCGGTGTGTCTGTCTGTCTGTGTGCCTTTGTCGCCCGTCTGTGTCGGCCGGCCGCTCCTCGAGATGAGATGCCACTCGATGGCCAGGCGGATGACAGAGACCGAGGCACGACGGATGCACACAGCGCAGCACGATCGATATAGACACGATTGGTGGATGCATCATCATCCGATAACCGCTCTCTCCCCTCCCTATCCATGTGATTCGTGTGCCGCCGTGTGTGATGGATGGCGAGCCGCCGAGAGAATCACCGGCCCATCGGTGTGTGTGACGTGCCGGCACTTCACCGAACGACGATCCGCCCACCACACACACGGGAGCAGACAAAGGGAGGAAGAGAGAGTGAACACACACACACACACACACACACGCACACTTGGATGGATGTCGGCAGGCAGAGGGGATGGCAAAAGGCTTTCTGTCTGTCTGTCTGTCTGTCTCTGTCTGATTGGCCGCCGCATCTCAGTGTTCCCTCCCGCCACACACACGGACGGAGGCGGAGTGACCGACAGAACCGAACACACTGCTCACGTCCACCGCCGCTCAGGGAGGCGCCACACAGAGGTGCAGCTTTGAAGCCAACCAGTTATCACAGGCATGCACCACACTCTCGGCTCAAAAGTAGCTTTGTGATGGACAACTGGATAAATATACAAGTACGTATGTATGTCATTGAGTATACACACAGACGAAGACGGCACATCGTCTCATTCCCGTCTGTCTGCCAGACCATGCACACAACGCCCAACATGCACACACACACACGAGGAAAAAACTTCACTTTTCACCACCTCCCCCATCGCGACACGGACTGAAACAGTACCACAGCCAGCACCCCCACCACCCCGACCGCCGCCCACACACAGAAGGGGAAAAACCGCCACACACATCGACACAGACACGAGGCACCATTGCCCATTGCCCAGCCGCATCACACATGTATTATGGTGGCCGTCTCCTTGGTGGCAGAAGTGGCAGGAGGGCGCTCGTCGGCCGTCTCTGCGTTGGTGCTGCTGGTGGCCTCGCCCTCTTGCTCAGCATTAGGCGGCGGGATGGGCCCATCGACGTCATCGTCATGGATACCTACACACACACACATAGAGATATGATATAGTGGACGGTGGGAGGGAGACGGAGTAGTTACCTTTGACGCCGTCCATGGATTCTTTCATTTCCTGCTCGAGTGTGGCCTCCCGCACGCCCTCTGCATTCATCTCACCGCCCACACGCACCAAACACCTGACACACAGATACACACACATTTGCACATGATGCTGTAGTGGCGTGTGTGTGCACAGGCAGGTACCCTGCAGCAGCGGTCTGTTGGGCGAGCTCGACAGCTTTGTCGGGATTGTCGTTTTCGTCATCGGAAAACTCATCGTCGATCAGATCGTCCACAGGCAGGCCCCTGACACACACACATACACACACGAGTGGCCACATGTGTGTGTGTATGTGAGGGAGGGAGGGAGGGAAAGAGCGTACTGAGCGAATGAGTCGATGATTTCCAGGTCCTTCTGGTTCTGGCTGTCGGCGGAAATGTCAGTGGCACCGCTGCCCTCCAGCCACTTGAAGAAGGCATCGCTGTCCTTCGCCTGCACACCACACACAACGCCCCCTACATGTGATTGATGTGTGATGCCTCGAGTGTGTGTGTGTGTGTGTGTTCAGATCACATACCCGCTGCTGAAGGTTCTCCTCCGCCATGTCTCTGAACTCCTGCCAGAACGCCTTCCCGACAGCCTTCTCGGGAGGCCCCTCGCCAAAGATGTCGGGCAAAGACCGGGACCCCCTACCACCACACACACGCACATGCCATGAGCCACCACACCCGATGTGTCTCTGTCGGTGGTGTGCTCACTGCACTCACTGTATTTTGTCGCGTATTTTGTTGTAGAGGCCACGTATGTCGGCGTTGGTCGGCTCGATGGCGAGTGCGGCCTGGATGTCGGCGGCGGCGGCCTTGAGGTCGAACTCGAACATGTGGGCCTTGGCGCGGCGGTAGAGCGCCTTGACGTCACCCGGAAAGGCTGCACACACACACACAGGCGCGTGTGGAGGCTTGTGTCCACCAATCTCTCTCTCTCTCTCTCTGTGAGCGTGTCGGGGTGTCATGTGTTGTGAGGCACACTCACCGTCGAGCACTTTGTTGGTGTTCTTGATGGCCGTAGCGATGCACGGCTCGTGCTTCTCCCTCTCGTAGCGGTCAAGGGCGAATTTGGCCGCATTCAGCTGAGCGCGGCGAACCAGAGCCATGGCCTTCTGGCGGTCCTCATCCGACCACTCGTCAACTGCACAGCCACACACAGCACAACACACGGAGAGAGACAGAGATGTGTGTGGTGGGTGTGTGGGTGTGCAGGGCGGCGGGGCGGGGCGGGCGGAGGGGTGTCTGGTGTGGATGTCTCACTGTTTCGTTTTGACGATTCATATGTGTGTGGGACTTTGTTGAAGGCCTTCTCGCCCTGAGCGTACTTGCGCTCGCCACAGAGCCGCAAACCCTAATGGATGGGCACACAGATGCACACACATGGTTGGGTGGCTTGGATGAATGGGGGCAGAGGTGTTGCTCAGGTCAGGTGTGTGCGCACCTCTTTGATGAATGCCTCAGCGTCTTTGCTGAAGCCCTCAAACGTGACGGCCGTCTTCTGCTTCAACTTGGGCGGGACCACCTCATGCAGCGTCAGCACCACCCTGCACACACCGCAACACCATCAAACCCACACACACAGATAGACACACGACACTCATTCCTGCGCATGTGTGTGTGTGTGTGT